CATCTCAATTCACACATGTACACTTTAACATTGCTGACAGTCATCCAGACACCGTCACTGGGCTCTGCAGACATGCTTCTCTCTGCACTGTTGTACAAAGCAGAGCTTCAACTAGTGATTGTTTTCATTTTCAATGAATCTATTCATTATGTTTTAAATTGCTGGTTTATTCTCTAAAGGCCGTCAGACATCTTCGACTCTGGCAGAATGCTGCTGCCAGAGTTCTAAGAGCACCAAGAGAGCTGAGCACATCACTGCTCCTAAATCTTTACACAGGCTTCCAGTTACTTAAAGCACAGAGCCAGCGTCTAATGAACCTGCTGCCAATAGACCCCTCGTTAAAAGATGTCACTGACTTATCTTTCTTTGTTGAAGAGAATGAACTCTGTGAGTTGATAGAGTTTCCAAGGTCAGAGTTCAAAGTCTTAATATGACAAGGATGCAATTATCATATCGGGAAATGGCACACAACTTACTTAATCCTATTATGAAAATCAGTGGCTCCATTAAAGCATGGACGTATTATAGATTGATGGATTAATTTGGTTTTGCTTTAAATCAATCTTTAAAGGTTCTGCAATTGCAGCCCATGAATATGCACAAGAAGAACAGTGGAGAAAGCCTGCAGGAGCTGTTCATTGCACATGACCGACGTTGCCCTCTCTGTTCATTTCACACAGCGTTCACAGTTTTAAGACTCTGCATCAAGTTAATTAAAACTGCAAGTTACGAGGGAGCGTGTTTCCATTAGATTATAACAAAGAACAGACAGACACATATACTGAGTGCAGACTGTGCTTTAGGCATCCAAGAAAAGCTGTAAACAATTTAAATAAATCCTCCTGATATCTGCTTTTATTTGATGCTGTAAACAAAACGGTGCTGGCATGGGGGAAACGTCACACGGTGAGCCTCAGTCAGCCACTGTGGGCTCCTCCGAGACGCTGCCACCTCACATATGACTGTTTGCCTTCGTTCTCTTCAGGATCACGCTGCTGTCGTGCACCACAAACAATCCTACAATAAAGAATCTGCTTCTTTCACTTTGTTTGCAATTCTTTAACCACGTCTTGAATGGGTTTCTGGGCATAAATTTTTATGAGCTGGAAACCTTCTCCAGGCTGCACATGTGATTTTTGGACAGGGCCAACACTTCACTTGATGTAGATGAAGACCTGTTTCCTGACCTGAGGAGAGGCAGGCACTTTTTTTAGTGTTTCCACATTCCTAATGTTTCAAAAAGGAAAAGTAGACGTAGAAGAAGAAGAATCCTTCTCATGAGCTCTCCTCACAGGTTACATGTCAGTGAACAGTTCAACAAGGAGCGATGTTCTCAGTAACAAATGAACAAAATCTTTTGTTGCAGAATTTCTGGAGGGTATTGATTGAACCCCAGATATGGATACACTGCTTTAGTGATATATATCGCTGCAGAGAGTTTTGATTTCTTTTAGCCAGGATTTTAATTATCCGAGTGAGATTTTGGCCCCAACCCCAATACAACGGAGGCAAATGGAATTTCCTCTACATTGGAAAGAGTAACAGCAATACAACTGCTGGAAAGATAAATAAAACCATCAACCAAACTGCGTGGTTAGATACCACCCGAGGGAAGTGAAACATTTTTTTTGTAATATGGGCAAACCTACCTTTACCTTGTTTGTGTCACAGTGTGACTTTTGCTTTTTTTAAGTCACAGTTTTGGAAATGCACCACAATTTAATAAACTCTTTAAACTCTTTTAGCTTTTGGGGAAAACTGCAACAATCACACACTTCACTGGACAAACCGGGTACAACCTACAAGGAACCTCATGCCTCTTAATAAGACATGAGCTCCCCTGAAAACACAATTTGTGAAATTTTAGGGGGTCTCTAAAATATTGACAATGTGCTATTTTTGTCATTTCTATCCTCATCATCATGGATCATGAGTAAAATGAAGCTATTATTGATGTATGATTCATGCATGAGGGTGATTAATCACTAATTCACTTCCGGCATGCAATGCTATTTTTGCCATCGCCATCAAAGTGTGGGGACGCAATATCAGAAACCTCTCTCGCTTTAATTCAAAGTTCCGAACAAAACAAGCTTTCTTAGTCCCACTCGGTCTGTGGGCTGAAGTGCAGCTTTATTCCTTTCTCTGTTTTGTAGTCCGCAGCATGGGAATGTGAAAATGAAAGGGCAGCGGCGACCCAGAAAGCCATGGCAGTTTGCACGCTGTGGACAAATACTGTACACTCACCATGATGTTGAGGGGGTCTCGTCACAATCAATTGCTTCTGTCTCACAGAAGCCCAATAATAATGCTAAACGGAGACACCAATGAGAACATGTCAATACCCTCCCAGGGAGGTATTGGAGCTCCTGCGTTGGTATTAAAAGCTGTGATTGAGTTAGACCACACTGCAGAGGGAGGCAGAGAGATGGGAGGTGGGGCACAAGACACAGTGGTAGAGGCGTGTGCAGCCGACCAAAACTGAGAAGTTTCTGGCCTCTGACAAAAGCTCTGTCAGTTGATGATTTATTGCACACAGATTTAGGCTCATCTGTTATCATTCTTCAGCATGTCAAATATTTCCTCGGCTCTACTCCGTACACATGCGTTAATATATGGAGGATTTTCTTACTAATTGGGTTTTTGCTGAAGGAAAAATACTCTTATAATTAAAATGTTTTTCTTCCTAATTTTCCAACACGACAGTAAGACAACGTACTGAATGACATGAATCACTTGAAATCGAAGCAACTGATTGGGATATCTATACCTCTATACCTCTCTGGAAACGAGTGATTGCAGCCATAATGAGACTGTGCTAATCATGCGGTGCAGCTTAGATTAGGTTGGATCTAATTATGTACTGGACGGTTAGTATGGCAAACAATATGTAGTGTGTCTTATTTTATCACCACTTCAGCAGAAGGAGAAAATGAGGTTGTCAAGAGGGTGCAGGGTTGCTTGTTTTTATATCTGGTCACTATTTGCAGCATATATACCAACTTTGCTAATTGTTGTCAGTTCAGTCAGGCCATGTTCAGACGGACAGTAACCCTGCGTAAAGAAACACAGCACTCTGATTCATTTCAATTGAGCCAGTCCATCAGCCCAGCGAGGTTTCCAAAAAAAGTTAGACCTGGCACAACTACAACGAGACGTCCACCTGCAAGGCGCTGTATTGGCCAATCAAATATCCTGCAAGCATACATTTCTGGTGGATTACTGTGTAACATGAACACCGTATTTCTACTCTTTAAGTCACAGTTGTACAATGCAGCTCTTCACGCTAACACAACGACTCATTGGCCAGTTGATTCAGTCATTACAGTTGTATTTGACTGAACTATAGAATGGATATATACGTATATATCCAGGCAGGTATTTGGCTCTTTGAGCAGAAAAGAACACCATCTGTGTGTATTGTAATCCAGAGTTTCTCTGTACTTTGTTCGCATGTGAGTCTCTCTGTTGTGCCCCACTGATAGCTGATTGGCGCCGGTCTGCACTGCGCTTGTGGTGATGAAGGGAGTTGCTGCAATCCGATGACGAATGAGGTGCACGACTGTGATGCAGACTGGAGGGGGCTGGAGCGGAGGTGGGTCGCATCTGATTGTGCTGCAATGAGAACTGACAGCAGCAGAGAGGAGAACGTTTTTTAAGTTGGACAGCAACGATGTGATTGGCTAAAGGAAACTGTGCAGAATCTGGTTGGTTAATTTAAAGTAAATGCCCAGAATCAGCTGATGAGAGTAATCACAGGGAGAGAGAGAGAGACTGCGACATTATGAAGGAAAAGCAGAGTAAAGAGAGTCTTCCTGACTGAGCTTCCGCTAAGCTTCATTACTGAGGGGTATATGAATGTCTGTACCTGATTTTCATACCAGTCCTTCTAATAACTGTTGAAAGATTTCACTCAAAATGACAAATCGTATTGGTACTCGATGAAAAGTGAAAGGAGTCGTCCTCTGGGAACTATGAATGTTCAGGGGATCTCCAAAGTCAGCAGGATTCATCATCTGGACACCATGAATACCTGTACCAAATTTAACAGCAATACATCCGACATGTTATTGAAAACAAAAATGTCAACCTGCTGGTGGTAGAAGTAGTCAGAGGGATTCATACTCTGAGAAACATGTGTGTCGTATCCATTAGGCCTACTCAAAGTTACTAAAAAATGAAACTGTGTGATGCATAACAAACCAGAAGCTTTTAAGCTGTGGTTGATGCGCCACTGTGTAAATACTGCGCACATGAATATATGATTTTGTATTTCATGCAGGTTTTATACTTCAGGTTTGTTGCATCCACAGTTATTGTCCCCATTTGTTGCCTTTTCTCTGAATGAAAAGAACCATTTAAATTTCTACAATTTCTGAACATTCATGATTCATGTTATTTCATATATGTTCAACAAGACCTCTGTGTGTTATTTTAAATTCTTATTTCATTATGGATTTGGGAGTGTGTTTTTTTTTTTGAGTTCTATGCTTCTATTCTGTTCGCCTCCTCTCCAGGCGCACTCAGACCCACAGGGGATCAAAGCAATCCCAATCTTCATTTACAGGTTGCTGCCATACGCAGTCACTCAATCTAAAAAGTAATAGAATGGAGGATTGCAAGTTAAAGCCTATGTCGGTCCATATATGAAAGTGTGCATGTGTGTGTGCGTGTGTGTGTGTGTGCGTGTGTGTGTGGGTGTGTGTGTGTGCGTGTGTGTGTGGGTGTGTGTGTGTGTGTGTGCGTGTGTGTGTGTGTGTGTGGGTGTGAAAGAATGAGAGAAAAAAAGGTTAAAGAAGTTGAATTTGACACAAGAGAGAGATGGAAGGCAACTAATGGTGTAGGCTGTAAGCAAGGTGATCTGTTGATGAAGAGAGAGAGAGAGAGAGAGAGAAAGAGAGAGAGAGAGAGGGGGAGAGAGAGGGGGGAGAGAGAGAGAGTAAACAAAATGGTGCTGGCATGGGGGAAACGTCACACGGTGGACGCCAGTGCTCAAATACGGGAAGTCGAGGCAGCTGTGTTCAGGGAACACCAAAGCAGTCAAGACAAAGTGCCAGAGAAACTAAGTCCAGGATGCAGAGAAATATGATGATCACACATTGTCTCACCTTTCTTCAGATGGTATTCATCTCAAGCCCTCAAGGAGCCCACAAACTGCAGGTGAGGGTTTTTTTCTGTTCACGACATTGAGGAATATATATAATTCTGTTGCATGTTGAATTTATAAACAAATCCAGTGTGGGAGTCCAACAATAGTCTCTCTGGAGTCTGTTTTCTGCTGCATAATTATGAATTCCGATACAAGACAACATTGTGAGTTGACATGTTTTATGGGAGGACAAGAGAGCATACAAGATATTTGAGAAGTTTTACAAAGCTTTTTTTTTCAAGTATAATTACATGTGTATGGCTATGAGTGTCAAACATCTTCCGAGGAGACACTACATGAAAAAACATTGTTTTTCATGCACTGATCAATTTTGAGATTTTGGGCGATTTTATTTTAGTCGTTTTCTCAAAATTAGGTTTTTCTCGTCTTCTCAGCCAGAAATATCCGCTTAAGCAATTACACACATCTCACTATGGGGTTTCATTCCTATTATTATTCTGAAGGGTTTGTTCATATATCATTCATATCCTGATTCATATTTTATTCCTAATATTGTAGGCTGCTGACAGTATTTTCTCCTTTCAGCAAAACTAAACATGAATTTTCAACCTGGCTTTATTCAATGTTTAGATTTCTGATCATTAATAAGATAATGACTTAATGTATATTTAAACATGCAAAACACTTCTGAAAACGTATTCGAATACAAAAATAATTTCTTTCCCCGGTTGAGACTTAACTGGGGAAGTTTAATGGTTGAACCTTTTAGTTAAACCTGTCGTGTCTTTAAACATTGCTGCCCTGGTGATCATTTATTCAATTTATTCATTGACAGTTTTTGTCTGAATGTTGCTTCCAATTATGAACAGTGTCTCTGTTTCTCTGCTTGCTGCTATAGACGAGGGCTAAGGTACAGCTGCTCGGTAACAACAGTATGTGAATTGGTCGGTTAAACTTAGGATATCACTTATAGGTATCTTCCAGTAATTTAGAGTTGCACTTCCATTAGGTTAAGTGGCACAAGACACAGATTCTTAAAAGTTTGTAACGTCCCCTTTTCTCCTCTTTGTATTAGGTTTAGAATCCAAAGAACCTTCCTGCCAGTCGTCAACATGCCAGAGTTTAACTGCTCCTCCGCTGCTCTTGGTGCCGGAGTTTTCAATGACGTGGGCTGCCCCGAGGTTGCTTTGGTGTGCGGGATGAATATCTCCTGGTTGTTGACTCAGGCTACTGCACAAGATCTGGATGACATGTGCTTGAGCGAGAAGGACTACCTGGCCATGTACCTGGGGCCTCCGAGGTCCCCTGTGTTCCTTCCCGTCTGTGTCATCTACCTGACCATCTTCATTGTGGGTGTATTGGGCAATTCTCTGACCTGCACGGTCATTTTGCGCCACAGGGTGATGCAGACACCCACCAACTACTACCTGCTGAGCCTGTCGGCGTCTGACCTGCTGGTGCTGCTACTGGGCATGCCATTAGAGCTCTATGAGATGTGGCAGAACTACCCCTTCCTGCTCGGGGAGTGGGGTTGCTACTTCAAAACCTTCCTGCTTGAGACCGTCTGCTTCGCCTCCATCCTCAATGTCACCGCGCTCAGCGTGGAGCGCTACGTGGCGGTGTTGCACCCCCTCAAAGTCAAACACATGACCACACGTGCTCATGTCAAGAGGGTCATCTTCATGCTGTGGGTGCTGTCCATGCTGTGTGCTGTGCCAAACACCAGTCTGCACGGGATTATGACGCTGCCTCCAAAGTTTGGACGACAGTTTCCCCGATCTACTATCTGCCGTTTGTATATATTTATTATTTACGATTTTAGTTTTTAAGAGTCTACAGCAATGTTAGCAGCTTTGTGAGGCTAAAAGCTACATGGGCTTGCTAAAATGCTCACAGTGACAATGTTTGCTGTGTTAACCATCTTAGTTTAGCCTGTAAGCATGCTAACATTTTCTAATTGCACTAAACACAAACTACAGCGGAGGCTGAATGGGAAAATAGCTTTGCAAGTAATTGTTCATTAAAAAAAGGAGCCTATTGGACAAATGTTGGGCTGATGATAGTGCTAGATGAAAAAAGTCAGAGGACCTTTATAGTCATTATTTATATCCCGAGGGGGAGATGAATATCTGCACAAAATGTCAAATCAGTCGATTCCATAGTTGTTGTGACATTTCACTGAAAACCGCAAAAGTCAGGAGATCAGGTCACCAAGGAACATTATTTGGACCCATTGATGTTCGTAGCACATTTTATGTTAAAAGGGCACACATCAAATACATGTTGAGATATTTCACTGGTAAAGTGAGTTATTCAACCTGCTGGTCATTAGGATTCATCCTCTGGGCACCATGAATATCTCTATCTGAACTTCATGATAGTATTCAAGATAATTTCTTATTTAAAAAACAGAAATATCAGTGATGGTGCAACAGGAAAAATCATGGTCTCACCAAAGCCAGCAGGATTAACCTCTGACGGATATTGCCATCCCTAGAGCCATGCTGCTAGCGTAAGCTTAAGTGGGATAAGATGTTGTCCAGTAGTATATGAAGCTATGATGCCCGTGGTACACCTGGGATCATGATCTGATCTATTTTATTCATCTCCATCCTTAGATGTGATTAAACCCACCTGGATCTACAACCTGATTATCCTGATTTCTACGTTGACCTTCTTCCTGCTCCCCATGCTGATAATAAGCATTCTCTACCTGCTCATTGGCTTGGGGCTGAGAAGGGAGCGGATGATGACAGTAGTGGACACCAGCTTTGGACCGGAAACTCTCTCCAGGTCCCACAAGCAAAAACTGAGGAAACGCAATCTGCAAGTCACCAAAATGCTGTGTGAGTGTTCTTTCAGTCATGTTAAGGAGCAGAAAACTGAATTGGAATTGACTGTGTGTGTGTGTGTGTGTGTGTGTGTGTGTGTGTGTGTGTGTGTGTGTGTGTGTGTGT